AATATGTCACTGTTGATCTGTCTGTATTGGCTTGAGCTGAGTGCAAAACCAATCCTTTCACTGCATCGGGATTTGTAATTAATGTATTGTCTCAATTTTAAAATATATATCTGATGGTAAATTAATGGTTAGAGTTGGGTGTTTTTAAAAACTTTTTGTAAGAAGCAAAATGTTGCTATTTGGGAAAAATCTAAATACAAATCCAGTATAGGTCTTCATTTATCAAAACAGTCTTCAGATGAAATCTCTTATATTATCTTGCAGATTTATTGATCCTCCTCTTCTGCATTAGTTGCTCTGAATTTTCTAATCTGCTTTTCAAAAATGTAATCTGAGTGAATTGGTTTGTGCTTTAATTAAAAATAATTATTGTATGGTAGGTTCTGTAGATAAAGAATGTAAATGTGGTTTGTAAAGTATTGAAACAAATATAGTTTTTAATTGTTCTCCTTCCTCACCACTCCCTCTTACAGGTATAATGCCTGGCCGCTATAATCAGGATGTGGGGCAAACAATCCCTGTCTTTGCTTTCCTTGGTGCCATGGTGGTTCTTGCATTCTTTGTGGTGCAAATCAACAAAGCTAAGAGCAGGCCAAAGAGACGGAAACCAAGATTCAAGCGACCACAACTTATGCAACAGATTCATCCACCAAAGACGCCTTCTGTTTGACAGACCACTCTTGCCAGAGATGACCATCTCTTATTAGCTGCTTTTACTGAATAGGTGGTTGCTCCCAGTGAGGATTCATCATATATGTGATTGTAACCAGTGATTCACATTTGGTATCATCTCACAGTCTATGGCTTCTGACGAAAGGGACTAATTTAATCCTGTATATCTAAAACTGCAATTTTCAGCAGCTAAACTCACCAAAGACTTGAACACTATTTAAAAGCCTGCTCAGTCTCTAGAAGAGAGGGGAAAAGGACCCTTTTTTTTTCAACTGACCAAACTAAAATTTGTTAAAGGCTTTTTTCTATATTTATTTTTGGGGAGAGGGAGAGAAGTCACTTTAAGGATCTCTGCTGTTTGGAAGCAAAATCATTTTTTCAGATGGAATGAAATTTTGTAATACTGTATTGTGGTGAAGAGTATAAATTACATCAGACTCCTTTAACAATGTAAGAAACTGAAATTGGAGGAAAACTGATACAAATCAACAGAACATATACGTTAGTTTATTTTTATAAAGTCAACTACCATGATGTTTTGTAATTTTTGGTCATGATTTCACCATTGTTGGTGGAGAAAATTTTCAATAAATATGTTATCTATATGAAGCTGAAAAAAAATGTGCCCAGTTAATTGTTCTTTTCCATGCCAGCCTGGATAGCAGGCTTCCAAAGTAGAGAGAAATTCTGATGCCCATTTTATGTTTTTCCCTCCTATAGTCCTCCATTTTGCATATTAATGGGAAATGCCATAGAACTTGGGTTTGTGCTTTTAAGTATTTAACCTGACAGTCTCTCCTTTTTGTTATCTTCTGAAAATTCAGTTTAATATTTTAGAGCTATTCCGAGGGTTTGTCTGCATGAACAGTTAGTATATAGGAAGCTGGGGTGTGAATCTACCCAACACTAGTTTTCTGTGGACTTTGTCTCTATGTGGACCCTGCTGTTGTGCATTAATACTTTGTTAGTCATCTAGTTCTCCTTGAAATGGGACTAGATGGAAGTGCATTAATGAGGTGTTTATGTTCAACAGCATGATCCATACAGACAGTTAATGTGCGCAGGCTAGTGTTTGGGTTATATTCACATCTGACCTTGTGCCAATTGACTATTTGTGCAAACCAAATGTTTGTGTGGACAGACCCTGGATCACAAAACCAAACCAGGAGACTTTGCTACAATATGCTGTCTCAAGGAGTTACAACTCAGTTACAAGTCTGTAGTATGGACAGGACTTAACCATATTGTAACATATTTTCCCCCAGTACAAGGATACTTGCTAAATCTGACTTCTGCTCTTAGATGAGTCTCAGAAAGAAAAAGAAAAAAGCCGTAAGAAGATGTGTTTAAGACAGGCTGTATGGGAACATCTTCATCAGGACAGTAGGGTAGAGTTTAATATAGTTTAACTTACTGTAGTGCAGATACTGCTTCTGGACTCCTCACTAATGCAAGATACCCAAATCTCCTCTTCCTTCTCATGAGAGGCAGCATGCTTTCTTGAGCTCTTTGGTCTCACTGCAATCATTTATGCAGTAAGTGGAGGGTTGGTAACATGGAGGAGTCAGCAGGCCTGAATAAAGTCCTGTCACATTAAAACAGCAACAGGCCTGGAATCTAATGATCCAGACTTTGGTACAGTAACACGGCAGCCAGGAAAGAGGCCCAACTGATAATTGTATAATTGTGTAAGTTAGGTTGAGCATGGAAAAACATAGGGAGGCACCAGGAACGAGGATCAAGTACAGGCTGTGAGCCAGGGGAAGTAGCAGAACATCTCAATAAGTCATCTTGGTACCAACCGACTCCCCAAAAACTAATGTTCAGGACCGGATCTAAGTTGACAACATAAAGTATAGTAAATAGACCCGCCCCACACACTTCTGCAAGTTGAGGGGTGGTAGCTAGGTAACAGAGGGTGGCAACCTGGTACGTCAAAAGTGATGTAATTTGTTTGTATAAAAGGGCACTGCAAAGGATGATCACCAACCAACTGAGGGGAGGCGTGTGCTATGTGCACTTAATAGGTGTTGGTACTTTGCCAAGACTTACAGTGCACAGTGGTTTAGCAGCTGGCCTGTCTGCTGACAACTGTTAATATATGTCATTTGGCAATAAACCTGCTCGGGTGATTTCGATCCTTATCTGATTTGTGGTCTCTGGGGGCTCTCTCTGGAGTGTGACATGTTAACTCAAGTGCACAAGGTTAGCACGTTGGACAGGAGAGCACACACACATGCAGCCGAAAGTTTATCATCATTGACGGAGCAGAGTACCTGTCAGGAACCTATGGGGACAACCCTGAATCCTGACAGGGAACGGCACTGACTGTATGACAGCTTATTCTGCCTACTTGTTATGATTGATTTTAAAACTAAGCCTAGATTGTGTGAGGGATCATTGTACTGACTTGGACTGCTTAGCTATTTGTATTTAGATTGTAAGATCTGTCTCTTACTTAGCGTTTGTACAGTGCGTAGCTCAGTGGGGCCCTGATTTCAGTGTGGGGTCCCTAGCACTAAGGTAAAAATAATCACAATGTAATATGAGATCAGGAGAAGACAATAACAAAATATCATTGGTCTGAAGGTCCTATAGTATGGCTGTTTAAACATTTTTAGATGAAACCGTTTTGTATTGGAAAATGCTGATTTGATTAATTTGAAACATTTTTGTGGAAATACTGATTTTGTTGACCATGTATTCAGAAAATTATCAAGACATTTCATTTTCTCTTTATCACTTACAAACTTTAATATAATCTAAAAGTTGAAATATTTCACCTTATTGACAAGAAACTTCAATAAAAGCAAAATGAAACATTTTATTAATCATGTAAAAACACTAATATGTTCACTTTCCATCTTGATTCAGGACAAAACCAGATTTCGAAATCTCAGAATGTTGCAGAATGCAAATAATATTTTTTGAGCTGCTATGTGAGTTGTGGTACTCAAAAATAAGATTGAAGCTGTAACAGATGGCTTTTGTATTTAAAAATTATCGCTACTCAGTAGCAACTACAGTCCCCATATGAAAGTGAGACACCAGTGTGCTAAGCACTTTGAAAAGGCATTCCCTATCCCCAAAAAGGGTCGTAAAGGCCCTGATCCTGAAAATTTTTGTGAATTAAGTTAATTATTCATTATGTATATATGAATCTAGCTAAAGCACGTGAGTCAGTGTTTGCAGGATCAGGGCCCAAGTGGCTAATTTCTCAGCCTTGTTTCTTTTGTACAGCGGGTTTAAGCACTTGAGTAAATTTTCAAAAGTATGCAACACTGTTGACCATTGTTTTTGCTATTGCTGAACCTTTGTTGAAATAAGAGCTCTCATATTCTTTCTTTTGTTTGATTCTAGAAATGTAAGGCCTTGTCCATACTAACCCCTTTCCACCATCAACCTATCCTACACAACTTCAGCTATACAATTAGTGTTGACAGTACTCACCATGGCATCTTCAATGCAGTGAGATCAGTATAGGCTGCTCTCCCATCAATTCCAGCTACTCTTCTCATCCTGGTGGAGTACTGGAGTTGCTGGGAGAGCATGTGAAGATCAATTTATTGTGTCTAAGGGGACATGATAAATCAACCATTGGTTCATCAATCGTTGCAGTGTTGATCCACCACATAGTGGAGACAAACCTGTAGTGACAGATCAAATTAGCATTCTAATTTAACCCTGAGATCAAACAAGAAAAGAGGTTCATGAGGAAGCGAGCTTAAATGCTTTGATAATTAGCAGATATGGGGGAAAATTGTTTACATAATTACAGAGTAGTATATATAAACTTTAATATCCCGACAGAATCCCTAGGCACTTGCCCATGGATTGTACAGGCAATGGCAAAGTCCCACAACACATTTTTACCTGCTAAATCTTCAGAGGGTGGAACCAAATTGTTAAGAATTAAGTGGTTGGAAAGTAAATGCTGAAGTTCATTAAAATATAGGGTACAGATGGTAGGAAGGAGGGGGCAGCCTGGAGTCATCCTGAGAGAAGACTGCATTTCCTTGCCTAAACTCCTGAGTAAGTATGACTGATTTTTACCTATTTATAATGTTATAAAATCATTCCTCATATTTGTGCCCCTCCTGTAACCTGTGTCTGTGATGCCTGTGGAAAAGGTGCTACTGACAATGCCACACTTGAGGAATAATTTAGGTATAGTTTACATTTCTTAAATATATTTAATATATGGATAAAGAGCTATTAACTTACTGCTAAGTCTATTGCATTTCTTCCCTTACCTGCCTATTTATGTTTGTGATCTTTTTGGGACAGGGATTTTGCTGTCTCTGTTTGGAGTGCACCTACCACATGGTGGACATTATAGAAATAAATAGTAAAAAGAACCTGGTATGAAAATAATTCTGTTTTGGTTTTGCTCATCTCCCCAAAACAAGAGCTGAACTTCATGAGCTAATTGCTTCTGAGAGAGATCTGAGCCTGATAGTGCCTTCTTTTAATGCTGTTTTACTGCCTGGTTCTCTTTCATGGTTGTATGTAGACATATTCCATGCAGTAGAGACAGATTTAAATATGGTTGCAAAAACCACATTTTCTACATGCCATATCTGTATGTGCACATACCTATAAGTGCTATGTTTGGGTAGATAATGTGAGCTGTTCACTCCTCAGCAATAGTTCTCATACGGCCTTGGATGTTTGAACTTGTTTTGAGAGCATGACTGTTTTCTAGGACACCTAAGATTATCCTTTTACAATAAATCTCATGGAATCTTAAACCTGAGTGGCATCAAGAGGTTGGGAAAAACTAGCTCTAACCATGCAGCAACTTCCTAGTGTTGAATCTCCTTTTTTGTGTTGTTATTCAGACTGAGCCCAAGTGTTCACATGTGAGACTTTTGAACTCATGACCTGGCTTAGAGGTAAGTAAGATTACTACCAACTATGAACTGCCATCTTAAAGCCAAACTAAATCTGAAACAAAGATCAAATGAAGCACAGATCTGAGTGCTGAATGCCTTTTGCTTTCAACACATCAATGCATTTTAACTAAATTCTTAAACATAATTTTTCCCCACCTGTCAAGCAGCCCTGTCTGAAATATTTCTTGCTGCTTATGTCCTCAGCACTTTTTATTCTATGAACTCACAAATACTATGTACTGCAATGAGACTTTTGTCACAGCAGGTTCCCCTTTGGAGATCCCATCTATGCCAGGGTACTTTAAAAGACAGGAAAGGGTTTTTTTTAAAGACAAGCTGCTATATTTTTCTCTACTCCGAGTCCCTTCTTGGACTGATTACTATAGACACATTGTGCATGAAAAATGCAGTCTTAACTTTGCAATTTACCTTTAAGAAATATTTCACATATTAATAGGTGATCCAACAAATCCTCTGTGAAAACAAGCAGCAACACAAGGACTGGAAATGCTCTTTCACTAACTATAACCACAGTGAGAGTTGTGACTTCTGTAATGTGTTACCTCTTGCTAACAAGCACATCACAGCTGTGACTTCAGATGTCTTGTCTTTACGGTGCCACAGTCCAGACTACAGAGCTAATGTGTTGCACACTAACTGCCCTCTGTAGACCCTGCTAGTGCAAAGTGAAAGGCACCTATTTTGCATTGATGTAATCCCATTTCATATAGCACTACAATAACATGTACTAGATATCTTTTAGTTCTCACTAGCAGGCTCTATGTAGAGCAGTTAAATTGTAACATGTTAGAGCACTTTGCAAATCATGATTTTGTAGTCCAGATGACAGTACCATGTAGATTAGTCGTAAGTGTGTGACAACAGCTTTTTATCTCTGTATTGGTCAGTTCAATCGGTTATATGTATAGGTTGAACCTCTCTAGTCCGGGACTCTCTGGTCCAGCATCATCCTTGGTCCACTATGATTTTATTTAGATGGATATCCACTTAACATATGTGTGGCCAAGTTTCCTGCGGTCTCATAAAGTGTGTTTACAGCCAGCAATCCTGGCTCTCAGTGTTCTGTGCTGTTATTTAGCTCTAATTTACCTCTAAATGTCTTCTAAGAGCCCAGGAAGCAGTGGAAATGTTAGTAATGCTGCTAGACAATATTGACCTCCTGTGGTTTGGCAAATTCTCTGGTTCGTCATCAGTCAAGTCCCTAGGGTGTCAAACTAAAGAGGTTTAACCTGTACAAGTGGACTTTAAGAATGCAAGCTCCCATGACAATGAATTGCTACTCTGTAAACCCAATATCTATTAAAGGCATAATATTCTTTGGGATAGTGGTACTAAAGTTACAACCAGAGTCATTAGTGTAGTTCATTGCTTTAGTTTTAGCTAGCTTCTCTTTTAAAGCCAGACACATAATGTAACTCAGACCTTCTCAGCATCTTATCGTTGCTGCAGTATGTTCAGAAGACAAAATTTTCCCAGAAGATCTCTGCTCAGAAGCCCCAATTTCCCTCATCTCCCCAACCTTAGGGAGACCTTGCTCTTTGCCTAATTTTCCAGCTGGGTTGACTGAGGAACAGAAAGATAAGGAGACACATCAAAGGTTACACAGGGAATTGCTGGCTCAGCCAGCTTTAGAGCCCAGGTTAAACAGCTTAATTGATATGAAAGATGTTTTGTAAGATAATTTCTAATTGGGCTGACACTTCACATACCAAATTTCAGTCCAATGTAATTATAAAACGCTGATGTACCAAGCTCCCTTTGGGAGCTATTGGGAAAATGTCCAACAAGATCTCTGTTGATAGAGCCAAGCAAAAATTGTACAATATGACTTGTGTATAACTGGAGGGAAAAAACCTGAAAAATTACATGTCTGAAATCTAGCAAGTACAACTACGCACTATAATGACTTGTTTTATATCTGTTAACGGAAAGCTGGCAGCTGGTTCCTGTGAATAGAACTGGGCTCAGCTACCCTGTCTAAGATAAGGTAAAATCAAGGCCATAAAGGACTGCCAGAGGACAGGCAATGAGGTAGTGGAAGGGCATTATTGGGATAGGCTATGCCTGAGTAAGGGAAGCCAGAGCAGAGCACAACTAAACTCCGATGGGTCCCTGACACAGGGAGCTGGGTGCTCAGGGAATGCATGGGCTTGTTACTCTCAGAGCAGAAACCAACCTGATAGCTTTCTTTGATAGGATAACAAGCCTCATGAATAAGGGGAAAGCAGGATATGATGTGCTTTGACTTTACTAAAGCATTTAATACAGTCTTGCATGTCATTTTTATTAATAAACTAGGGAAATACAACATAAATGGGTGGATAAGTGTTCTCAGTAGTTATCAATGGTTCACAATCATTGATTTAGTTGATGGCATAGAGAGTATGCATTATAAAGTTTATTGATGATACCAATCTGAGAGGGGTTGCAAGTGCTTTGGACGTTAGGATTACAAACTGGAGAAATGGTCTGAGCGGTAAATAGGATGAACTGTACTAAGAACAAATGCAAAGTACTCCACTTAGGAAGGAAACAATCAGTTTCACACATACAAAATGGAAAGTGACTGTCAAGGAAGGAGTACTGCAGAAGGGGATCTAGGGGTCATAGTGGACTATAAGATAAATATGAGTCAACAGTGTGACAAAAAAAGCACACATTCTGGGATGCAATAGCAGGAGTGTTGTAAACAAGATATGAGTAGTAATTCTTCCTCTCTACTTTGTGCTGTTTAGGCCTCAACTGGAGTATTGTGTCCATATTCTGGGCGCCACATCTCAGGGAAACTTGACTTTGAAACTGCTCTGCCAATTCCCTCACTAGTTGTCTTTGCTGCTTCTGGTGTTGGGCGGAAAGCTGTTGCATGAGGGGTGTTTGTTGTTGCTGGTTCTGCCTTTGTTGCTCTGTGAGCCAGGCTAGTATCTTTCCCGGCTCCATCGCTGCCTTCTGTTGCGCCGTTTGTCCGCGCTTCAGTGCACTGGCCTCCGTCGAACAGTGCACAATAAAAAAAAAAAGGATGCCCCGCTCTGGGGGTGGGAAGGGAATAGCTCAGTGCATACCCCTAGGAGCTCCCTTGCTCCCCCCTTTCTGTTCCTAGGGACATGGGGTAGTTAACATGAACACATTCTCCACCACCTTGTAACCGCCCTACCACCTCCTTTATCCTGGAGAAAGAGGGGTAGGGGGGTGCGGTTCCAGCGCCCCTAGTCCTGCCCGCCCTTGGTCTCGTCCTGGGATGTCTGGCCCTTTAAGCATCGGGTTACCTAGCCCTTCACTGCTGGGCACTCCTCCTCGATCACACTCTCCCATGTGGAAGGGGAGAAAGGGGGGCCCAGGCCCTCCCTCACTCACTGGCCTCAGCCCAGGGCCCTAAGGACTCAGATTGCCTGCCAGTCTGGGTCCAGCTGACGGGGGTATGCCCCTAAACGCGTCAGCCCACGGGCTTCATCACCGCCCTGCCCTGGGCTACTTCCTTTCCCCCTTCCGGGCTCCTTGCCTGCAGTGTCGGGTCTCAGCGGGGCGATAGCTCGGGGTGGCCCTCCCTCACTCACTGGCCTCAGCCCAGGGCCCTAAGGACTCAGATTGCCTGCCAGTCTGGGTCCAGCTGACGGGGGTATGCCCCTAAACGCGTCAGCCCACGGGCTTCATCACCGCCCTGCCCTGGGCTACTTCCTTTCCCCCTTCCGGGCTCCTTGCCTGCAGTGTCGGGTCTCAGCGGGGCGATAGCTCGGGGTGCATCAGTGTCTCCCCTGGTGGGTCCAGCCTCTCCGTCCGGCTGCTCCCCCCCCCCCCCCCCGCCGGGGG